TCCTCCACTCCCTGCACTAATGGTTGATGGGGGACACTGTTCACATGGATACACCTGTTGCTACCGCACCAAGAAACAAGCCACCTGAATTCTGACCTATCTGTTAGTGAGTTGCACACTGTACGGGTCACTACTGATTGCAGAATCTCGGTTTTGATTCACCCTCTGTGTGGATGTAAATTGACTCCTCTAAACCAGATTTACGCCCATCTTGCACTACAGGCACAGAGGACGTGATCCTTTATACCACAGGAAACCCACTGAAGTTACTCTTTTTATTTTTTACACTGGTGTGTAAAAAGTGAGAGGAAAGTGATCATCAGCTTATATAAGAATGGCCATACTGGGTTAGATAGTCCATTCAGTCACCTATTCACTTACCTTTTCTGGGTTGATGGAGAGAAGGGAGGACAAATGAAAGGAGCACACGGGCAGAATGCTGCTGGGTTAGTGATCTGATACGCATGGAGCAGGCTGGGCTGTGATTTTGGGAGTACCAGAGGTGAATGTATTGCATGTGCTATGTGATTCTCCATGGGCCACGGTGCTCCAGTCCAAAAATGCCTGCGAAATCCATAGCTAAGGAAAGAGTGTATCAGTCAGTAGCTGAATGGATAGAATGAGAATATTAGTAGACAGATGGCTAGTGTTATGTGTTGGATAGAGGGAAGAATGTAGTGAACAGAGTAGATGGATAGAAAGGATAAGGAGGTGTGGATAGAAGGATTGTTAGGAGAACAGATAAGTAGAGAATGCAGAGTAGTGGATAATGGGAGGGTGAATGGGGAAGAGAGAACAGGAGAAGAAGTTGGACAGATAAAATAAGTGAATAAACGGGGGGGAGGGAACAATGAATAGAAGGGAAAGCCATCTGGAGAGAGCTGGTGGGTGGAGGATGGAGTGGGAGGGTGAATGGCTGCCTATAGAGTATGGGATTGCGAGGATTTAGGGCTTGTCTACACTTACAGTGCTGCAACTCCACCGCTGTAATGGTTCAGTGAAGACACTGCCATCTATAGTAAATCCTCCCTGAGAGGTAGTAGCTAGGTTGATGGGAGAATTCTTCTATCAACCTAGTGCTGTCTGCATGGGGACTTAGGTTGGCTTAACTACGTTGCTCAGGGGTGTGGATTTTTCCACCCGTGAGAGATGTAGCTATGCCAATATAACTTTTCAGTGTAGACCAACCCTCAGAGATTGCCTACCCAAGAACTAAAACCGAAGAAATGAAACCAGTCCTAGTTCACCCTTTTCCTTAGTCTGGCGCTAGGCTGTGTGTGGGCACTCTGATTTCAGATGGAGATTGACCTATTTCAATTTAGCTTAAATTTGTAAAAATAATAATAAAATAAAAATAAAACTATAAGTTTAGAATATCCTATTATGAGGCAATTCTTAGAAATAAAGTAACATTTTTCAGGTAAACTTCCCCTCAACTATTGCCCAAAGTAGAGCTGGGCAAAAACTTTTTTAGCAAATAGTAAATTCACGGAAAAGTGCATTTTGGGGGGCACCAAACTATTTGAGTTCATGTCCAATTCCGCAAATAGTTTTAAACAAAAAAACCCTGAAAACAAAAATTTTGGAAATGTCAAAATGAACCATTTGGTTTGGAATTGACACTTTGTTTCCAAATATTGTTTCATATTGATGTTCAAAATTGCATTTGACCCATTTTCAGTTTTTCGTTTTGTTGAGAACCCCCCTCCAAAATCAGTTATGGTTCTAAGTGACTCAGATGTAGTCCAAACAAGCTAACAAGACAGGCTCGCAGCTCAGACAGAGGAGGAGTATGAGGGCCAGCTAGTCTTGGGAGACCTCTTCTCCACTGCACTAGTCACCTGGTGGTCTGGAGGCAGGCATGGTCCTCACCTTCCTCCTGCCTCTGTCTCCTCAGGTGTTCTCCATTGTTGTCTTCGGCTCCATTGTGAATGAAGGTTACCTGAACAGCCCCACTGAAGTGGAGGAGCATTGTATCTTCAACCGCAACCATAACGCCTGCAACTATGGCATCACTGTGGGCGTCCTCGCCTTCCTCAGCTGCCTTCTCTACCTGGCTCTGGACGTCTATTTCCCACAGATCAGCAGCGTCAAGGACCGCAAGAAGGCAGTGCTCTCGGACATCGGCGTCTCTGGTGAGCTTCCTGGCTGGTTGGCATAGAACCCCTTTCCTCAGGGAGCTGAGCTGAGGGAAGGAACCTGTCTTATTTCATAAGCCAGCTGGCCAGACATCCCTGGAACAGGAGCTCTTTGACTGGTCTCCTTCCTTGTCCCCCCTCACCTTGTCCTCTTTTCCTCTTTGTCCTCCAACCTTCTGCCCCCTTCTTACGCCCACTCCTCTTTTTTCCTCTTCTCCTCTCCCTGTCTCTTCTTTCCTTCTCCTTCCTCCTCTTGTCCCCTAGCCTCTCCTTCCGCTTAACTCATCATCTTTTCCCCCCACCCTCCTCTCATTCTCTTCCTCTTTGCCCTGTCTCTCTTTGACCTCTCTCTGGCCTCTGCTGCTGCCTTATGATTTGATGATGGGATAATGACACCACAGGCAGCTCAAGCATTCCTCACACAATGTGGGAGATGTGAGCATATGTACAAATTGCATTCCTGTGATTAAAAATGGCAAGCCTTAAAAATGACCTGCAAAGGAAAGAAACATCTGGTTTATGCCCCTTTATTTTAATTCTGTATGGTGCATAAAAACAGCCTGAAAGGATGCCTTTTTGCCCTTATTTTTTCCTTTAGAAATATCAAGTCTCATTTTCCCTGGTTTTTGCTGGAGGTCTCCTTGGAAGACCAGAAAACTGGGGTAGGATCTTTCTAGGGCCTTATTTGAAGGAGTAGAGGGTGACACATCTTGTAACTGAGGTTTTTCTTTCCAATGCCGGGCGTTTGAATCAAATGAGAACCCACCCCATCCCCCCAAAAAACCCCACAGAATTTTAAATAGTCTGACTATAAATTCCCTTTAAGTCACTTTTGTACTGTGCATGTTCTGAGGCATTGCAGGCCCCTGCCCAGCTCCTGGCACCCAGGGCTGTTCTAACTTACATTCTGCTTCCCATGGTCCCTAGTTTGTTGGAGCTGCAGAGCAGCACCTGTGTGCCTGGTACTTCAGCTGGAGGCTTCAGTGAGTGGTGGGTGTCACAGGGAAAGTTGTTTTCTTTCATACCATGTCTCATCATCTTCTGCACCAAGTTCCCTCATCTCTCTTTCAAAGTTTTCCTGTCCTCTACTCCCTCATTCATCTGTCCTTGTCTCCTCCGACGTCCCCACACACGCTCTCCTTCATGCTGACATTTCGCTCCTCACTATTCCCTTTGTCCGGCTCATTCCCTCTCAACTTCATCCCTTCTTTCACAGTCCCAAGACACCCAGAACAGCTTCCCAAGAATGTGCACTGAGACAGTTCCCTCTTGCCCTTAAAATAAAATACACAATCACTTGTTCTGCAAAGCCTTCCCAACATGACATCCACCCCCGTTCTGCAGACCTGATTCTGAACTCCCATCAGCTCACGTCAGGAGTATCTCCACTGACACCAATGGAGTTACCCCAATGGAAAACGGTTGCGCAAAGAGGATCAGGCCCAATGTCTGTTCACTCTCCTGTACCTCTTTTGGCCTTTAAGTGTGCAAGCCCTTCAGGGGTCTTTTTGCTTGTTTAGCAAACGTTGCGCGTTGTCTAGGCAGGGCACAGCGATAGTGCTATATAAATAACAGTGAGATGCAGAGAAGCGGAAGGGAGTGTGTTAGAGAAACTGAGTGCAGTACAGCAGAACAAACATCCTGCCTGTTTCTCCCAAGGTATCTGGTCGTACCTCAGAAAGGGGGTAAATGCATCAATTTCTGTTCCCTCCAGGAACTCCAGGCCAGCCCCTTTCCCACGCCCTGATGCTCCGATCTGGATCATCCACACTCCTTTCTCCCCTTAGAACTCTGATCCTGCTCATTTATCATCCCTCCCCAAGGGAGCTGTGATCCAGGGGTTTTCTTCCATCAAAATGCTGCTGCTGTCTTGCTCTCTTTACTCATTCTCCAGTCCCTCGAGCAGGAACACTGTTATTCTGTGTATTACCAGTGTGTATGGTCCATCTTTTGGAAGAGATGTAAAACGGAGGGCCTGTCTGTCATCATATAGCTGTATTATAGATCCCATGGCACTTTTTATAAGTGTAAAGGCATTAGCCCTGGTGTCCTGCCCAAATTCCAATCACTGTGTAATTTCAGTCTGGCTGCCTACAATTCCTTTGCAGCTTGTTCTGGAGAAACTGCTCTTCACTTGTCCTTCCAGGACCATATTGTGTAGCGTAACTGGTTCAGAAGGGCTGCAGGGCTTCATTTGGGAGGCCCTGCAGAACTCACTCACGTGAATCATGTGACCCTCCAAGCTCATGCTGATAAAACCTTGGTACCACACCATACCTTAAATGTATTCTCTGCAGCTGCACACCCCAGAGTGACTGCTCTGCCCTCAATTACAGCCATGCCGCTCCGCTGAGTTTAGTGGGACTGCGCAATCAGAATTTGGCCTACTCTGTAAAACACTTGGGGGTCTTGCAGGATAGAAATTGCTGGAGAAACTTAATGTATTTACTGTTTACCCCTACCCTACCCCTCTCTCTCTATCTTGTTTTAATGCTGTCCTTTCCCAGCCTTTTGGGCATTCCTCTGGTTTGTTGGCTTCTGCTTCCTGGCCAACCAGTGGCAAGTTTCAAAGCATGAGAACAACCCGCTGAATGAGGGGGCAGATGCAGCCCGAGCAGCCATCACCTTCTCTTTCTTCTCCATCTTCACTTGGGTGAGTAAAGCAGCCGGGACCCTGATTATGGCCCTTGGATCAGGGCTCCCCTGCATAGCGGTTCCCACCCCACTTAGGGTTAGCCCAGCCCTCTGTAGATGGAAGGTCCTCTGGCTAGAGCTGACTCCTTCTGCATTTCCAATGGAACAGAAGCGGAAGTGGCTTCTGGGAGAGGACCAGTAGAAGAAATGGAGGATGATCCAGTGGGTAGGGCATTAGCCTAGAACTCAGGAGAGCTGGGTTCAAGTCCCTGTTCTGCCACAGACTTTCTGTGTGACTTTGGGAAAGCCACTTAACCTCCCTGTGCCTCAGCTCCCCGTCTGTAAAGTGGAGATAATAGCCCTGCCCTACCTCACCGAGGTGTTGTGAGGATAAATAGAGCAGAGACTCTGAGGTGCTCAGATACTGTAGCAATGGGGACTGTATAAGTACCATACAAACAGTCTGCTTCTCTTTCCAGGATGTGTTGCTAGCATTACTGACATCAGGAGGGGCTTCAGCAGCTGTGTTGGGGGAGGGGATGGTTGTTAACATCCTGTAGCACAGCATATGGTCTTCCCCCTCTCTGTATCTGGTTTGCCCCCATGCTGGCATCCCTAGTTCATTTATTCATTTGGTAGGAAGAAAATGGTAGAATTTGTTTGGACCCTTCCCAGAGCTTCCTTTCCCTTCCCTTTTTATCCCCCAACCCGCACCAGGGAGTTTCTCTACTTGTCCAGATTTTGGGGCTCCATTTTAATGTAACCTATTGGGTTTTTTCCATACACAAACAGCCTCCTTGTACTTTCAGTCTTTTATTTCAAATAAAGAGATGGAACAAAACAAGAAAGAACATAAGTAAAGTCTGCACAAGAGAGCACAGTGTGTCTGTCTTTTGCAAGATACTGTGTCACCCTCCCGCACAAAATAGCAGCCAACACACTCCTAGGAATGAAAATGTGTGGTACGCAGATGATAAGATCATGCCAGTGGCATAGCTGCCATCCCACTCAACCAGAATCTGCTCTTCTCACTCGATGTTTCTCTGTAGTTCTAGTGCAGATGGGGCTGTCAGTGGAGGTGGAAATCAGGGGCTGGAAGAGCTGTGGAGGCAGCATCTTCACCCCCTGAGAGATGCGGCAAAGGAGAGCAACACCTGCCACATCCTCCCAAACTTTGTCTGGGTGTGTCCGCACTGGAGTGGGAGGTGTAGTTTCCAGCTCAGGCAGACATACCCATGCTAGTTTTGATCAAGCTAGGGTGTTAAAAATAGAAGTGTTGCCATGGCAGGATGGGCTAGCCACCTGAGTAAGTACCTAGGATCCAGGGCAGGATCATACTCCGAGAGCTAGTCCATCCCACTGCCAGCACCATGACTGCTACATGGCTATTTTTAGCACGCAAGCTCAATCAAAGCTAGCGCCTGTACATCCGCTGGAGCTGGAAATGATGCCTCCAGCTCCAGTGCAGACGTACCCAATGAGTGGCACTGCAGGGCTCTCCCCACGGACCAGGGTTCCTCAGCCACAGGAAGAGAGGGCCATGAGATGAAAGGCCTGAGGAGGAAGGTGTGGGTCCAGCTCCTCTCCCTGTTTGGCTGGAGGAAGGGGAGTCTAATGGTGTCTCTTGGGGTTTTTATTTCAGTCGCGTGACTTTGTTTGGTTGTCTCCCTCATTGACTCTTCTCCTTATCCCCTACCCCTCTCTCCTCACAGGGCCTCCTGACATTTCTGGCTTTCCGGAGACTCAGCCACATTAGCTTTCAGGAAGAATACAACACTCTCTTCCCTAGCTCCCCCGCACCACTGCCCTAGGGGCATTCCCCAGGGGGGCGCTTAGCGCCATTCCCCCAGGGCCTTGGCGGGGAAGGGGTGTGCATAGGGGAGGAGGTGGTCGGAGTGCAGATGATTCCAACTCCCAGGATCGGGGTGGGGGATAGGGGCTGAGAATACAGATGCACGTTGCCATGTCGGTGCAGCTGACGTGGTGGGGAGAGAGAAGCGATGTGCCTTGGAACTGGGATGGGACGTTAATTGTCCTTTGGGGAGTTGGAAGGAAGTGACCCACCTCTCCTCCTCCACTTTCCCACACCTGACTAACGCTGAATAACACCTGTATCCCTTTCTATTGGAATCTGCTCAGTCTTAATATTTTAGCCAGGCAGGGCTCCCCTCACCACAATCCCTACTTCCCATCTCCACTTCCTCTCACTCCTCTGCCCCTTTCACTCACTACGCTGGGATGGTCCCTGGGTGGCTGGACCATTCAAACATGTCTGGGACGCTGCGGGAATGCAGCCCTCTGGTCCCTGACCCTCAATAAGCCCCAGCGCCAATGACCTTGTCACACTATAGAGCATTCCAAAAGCAATGTCAGAGGCAGGGAGCAGGAACAAGGCTGGACCTATTCTAACCGCTCTCCCGGAGGGAAGGCATCTGCTTCCCCTCTCCTCTCCTCCCCTCCCTAGCAAGGCCTGTGATTTTTTTTCTTGGCAGCGTAGTGGGTCGCTCAGTGGATGACTGGCAGTGAAAGGGTTAATGGGAACAGCCACTGCCTCACTTCCATCTCCTCCCTCTGGCGGGTCAGTCTGGAGCTCCAGTGGGGTCTAAGGTGAAATGGGTCACAGATCCAGCCCAAAGGAGCGAGACCTCTGAGGTAGACGTGAAGCAGATCACCTGGCTGGGGAGGGGACGTTATACATGTATATCTGCAGGCCGTCTATGCCTGCACAATTTGAACCCCGTCGCTGGGCAGGATGGACCCAGCATACCCCAGCGACTGCTGTGGGCCTGGGCAAAGCAAGTGCAAGCAGCGGGTGGCACACTCGCGCACTATCTCTCTTTTCCTGGGCTCACGCTCTCCATGGGGCACACTAACTCTTCTTGCATTTGGGTGTGTTTAACCAATGATTTCCAGTCATGCCTTGTGCACTAATCCTTAACCACTACTAACTTGGCTTTTGTTTGTCTCTCCTCCTTGGCGTGTTTCCTTCCCTTTCTCCTGCCTTGTTCTCTCTCTGCTTCCCGTCTCCCCTTGTCCTCCCTTAAAGGTGGGCCAGGCGTTTCTGGCATACCAGCGCTACCGGATTGGTGCCGACTCGGCCCTCTTCTCCCAGGACTACACGGACCCAAGCCAGGACTCCGGCCTGCCTTACGCCCCCTACACGAACGAGGACGATGCCACAGACACGGTGGGGACGTACCAGCAGCCGCCTCCGGTAGACGCTTTTGACGCTGAGACACAGGGGTACCAAACGCAGAACTACTGAGCTACACTGGTGCCCCTTCCCGTGCCCCTCCCCTCCGCCCCCTTCCCTCTGCCAGCGGGAGGCCGCGGCACAAAACAGACAGGTGTGTCCCAGCGCAACAGGTGGCCCTTGGCCATGCTCCAGCCTTCTGGGCCATTTGTTTTTATTTATTGGTGGTTTTTTTTAAGAAAAAAAAATCCCTAACTGCTCCTCCCTCCTTCTGAATTGTCCACCAGACCCAAACTGTGTATTCCCAAGTCTGTCCCTGTCTCGGCAAAAGCTCCCCTGGCAACCTGGGAGTGAGCAGCAGCTTTGGGCAAGAATCCAGCTCAGTCTTTTGGTGGGCAGGGGAGGGTGACAAGGACACCAGCGCAGGAAGCAAAGGCCTAAGAGGTGGAGATAACAGGGGGACCGCTCAAGCGGCTCTGGCGGGCAGGGAGAGAAGGTGGCACCTACAGTGTTGGAGCGGATGCGTGTGTGTCTGTGTGTGTGTAAGGAAGAGTTGGAGATGGGGGAGGAGTGTGTGAGGGAGGGAGAGGTCAGAGCAAGCATGCAGGCGTGCAAGGGTAGGGGGTGGGTGGATGTGCAAGCAACGGGGCAGATCACAACCCTTTTGTCCCATGGGGTATTGCCCCCTCAGTAGTACAAGACTGTATGGGAAGTAGTTGGTGGTTTATCTTCAGGGGTGTAGGGAGGAGTGGTATTGAGGGTGGGGGGTTGAAAGAGAAAATGGTGTGGGGGTGGAGTTTTGCAAGCACCTTCGAAAACTACAAAGACATTGGTAGATTTTAAACCAAGAGAATAATCTGGACTGGACTGGATGGGCTATGCGATGAGAATCCCTCTTTCCCCAGGCGATTGGATTGGAGGCATTTCCCCATCCCCATGTAAGCACCCTTCTGAGGTTAACACTGCGTTCCTCTAGGGAGAACCAGAACCAAGCTGCACCCTCAGGGTGGGGAAGATGTCTTGAGAGAAACTCCTGAGAACTCCCTTTGGTCCCCTGCTCCTTCCGCTTAGGGATCACAACTGGCTTAGCACGGGATGAGGAGGAAGGCACTGGGCTGATTTGGGGAAAAGCCAGCTTCACACCAGCTGAAGGGGAACTTTGCCAGCCAACTCTGGGAGCGCTGTGGCCTTTGCCCAGTATAAAGGTGCAGGACGAAAGGGACAAACAGGTGAATTTCATTTCTATAGTCCTGTTGAATCCACATCCCTGGTGGAGTTAGAGAGATTCCACCCTCTCTGTGCTCCTAGACTGATCATCCTGGGCATCTGTGCCACGCTCTCTGGAGCCCAGAGAAACAGGGCAGGACTCCCAATGGAGCTTCTCGCCCTGCTGGAAAGAAATACTGCTGCTTTTCTGCCAGCTGGTGTCTAGACATTCTTAGAGTGGGTGTAACCAATGAGAAGAGCCCCAGCAGCTGGGCTCTGGTGTTTGCCCCAAAGTTATCCTGACTGAGACTGGATCAGGGAACCTAAGAGGGATCTTTAAACAGCAGCTCTGCTAAGTGAGCTGAATGGGGAGCATCTCCCCCTGCCCTTGCAAAATCTGGAGGGGCCGTGCTGCACTCTCTTCCCACTGAAATATGGTCTTTGTTTATCTTACAGCTCTTCAGAGATGTCAGTGCTCCATCCTCAGCCCCTAGCTCCTGGCAGCCTAAGAGCTTGTCTACACCGGGACATCGACTAGACCAGTTATTCCAGTATAGCTCCCTGTGTGGACACTCTGTTCTGGAATAAAATATGTTTTTTTTTATCCCAGAATCCTTACTCGGCTTTGGAAGTACACCAATTATTCTGGACTACAAGTGACTTTTATTCCAGAATAGAGTGTCCGCAGGGGGAGCTATTCCACAATAACTATTTTGGGCAATTTCCCCAGGTAGACAAGCCCTAAGAAAATGAGGCCAGGAACCAAAGCTTAGGTATCTCATATGGGTGTGCAGAATATTAACTCTTAGGCTACCACACTTGAGCTGGGCAGAGCTCACAGCCTCTAGGATGGAGGGATCAGGAGCAGAACCAGGGCAGTATGATAGTACAGAACAATAACCATGGGGCCACTCTCCAGAGCACCTTGAGGAATTGAGAGATCAAGGATGGAACACAGGTTTGCTAGGTGGCAGTGCAGCAGGGCCGCCTGGGGGGGGGGGGCAAGTGGAGCAATTTGCCCCTGGTCCCGGAGGGGCCCCCACGAGAATATAGTATTCTATAATATTGCAACTTTTTTTTATGGAAGGGGCCCCTGAAATTGCTTTACCCTCAGGCCCCTTGAATCCTCTGGGCGGCCCTGCAGTGCAGAGCACTTACTGTTAGGACTCCTAGTTCCTGCCAGGCTTGGGAATTGAACTTGGGTTGCCAGGAGAGCAGGGCAAAACATCTAGGTCAGTGGTTTTCAACCTGTTGTCCGCAGACCCCTGGGGGTCCACAGACTATGTCTAAGATTTCCAAAGAAGTCTGCACCTCCATTCGAAATTTTTTTAGGGGGTCAGCAAATGAAAAAAGGTTGAAAACCACTGATCTAGGTTACTAGCTTCCTCCCCGGCCACACACCCCTCCCCAAATGCGGGGGAAGGAGAAATAGGGAGATGCAGCCCCAAAATGGGGGGAGGAACTGTCTAGTGAGGAATCCCCTCCTTTGTACACAATTATACACATGTTTTTATCTGCAGTGTCTATCTTTAAAGGGCTGTTTCTCAGAGCTCCCACCTTCGGGCACTGAACAGAGGAGGAGCTGTTATGGGAGGGAGCTGAGACTCCAGCTGTTGCGTGATCTATGTGCCTGTGTGTGTATATTGTCTACAGGCCTCCTCATTGGCGCCTCTCCCAGTGATTCGCTGTACGTGGCACATGGCTAGCAGCTAGTGGAGGTGAGGGGAAGGAAATGATAGGCCCTGTCACAGTTGAAGCACAAAGAGGAGCTGGGCAAGTCTCTCACTCCATCGTCCCGAGCAAAAGCAATACTGTAAATAGGAAGTTTGGTGGGGAAGGGTTCCCATCCCCCAAGCTTCTCTTCTGTTGGGGTAGCCTAATATTTAGGTTTGGGGAGAGGGGGGACTTTATCGAGAGGGGTTCTTTGTAATCCGTGTCAGAGAGAGCTTTCTCCAAGTTGTCTCTCCCCCCCGGAGTGAGAGAGAGAATGACGGGGTGGAGGAGGGTTGTGTGGGGAGGTAGAGGAGTTATAAGCAACTGGTGTCTCAGGGTAAAACCCCAACATGTCTTTTGGAATGAATCTCTGAGACCCAGCAGCCATCCCCCACTTCACCAGAGAGTGTTCGGCCCGTGGGGAGGGGATGTTTTTATTTTGGTTTGTATCATGGGACTATTTTAATGTCCCCTCTCCCATCACAGCCGGGAGGGTCCCTAAAGTCATCTAGAGCTGGTCAGTAAAGAGACCTTTCCCCCTTACACCCTGCTACCCTCAAAACACCGAGGGACCCCCTAGCTGCTCTGAGGTGGAACTCGGCCAGGCTCATTACCTCCCCTGTCAGGGCAGGCACCTCCCAGGCAGCTGAAGAACCAGTCTGCTCCTGTCTCAGGTTATTCCCCACCTCTCTGTCCCTCTGCTCCTGTGCTCTGTCCCTCGGCAGATGTCTGCATGGCAAGCAGGAGCTTGCAGTGGTTCCTAGAGGGTTCGCCCACTCTGGTGGCTCAGTTCCTGGCTTTGCTTTTGCCTGGTGGGAGCAGCGAACTCTTTTTCAATGTAACATCTTCAGCCCTGATGAACGAGGGACTGGGGGAGACAGAGAGAAGAGGACAAGGGTCTCTGAGTAGTAGAACAATTAGGGGGCATTTCCCTCTGTGGTGTTGGTGGCTTTTTAACAGGGTTGCAGGCTCCCTACTGGAAGTGAGGGAATGATTCTGGCCCCCCACCCACGTGCACACAGAGCATGTGGGGACCCTGAGTTAGAGGCCGTTTCACAACAGGAGGTGTCAGAGGGGGTTATTGCTCCAGTGTCCTGACAAGTCCCAGGCACAAGGTTTCTCCCTCCCATGCACACATGCTATTCACCAACTAATTTCACTCCCCCCTCCGCCCCCCCGCATTTGTTCCTGATGGCTCCCTAGGAATAAGTCTCTGCACCTGACACTGCCAGCACCCTGTACCCTTATAAGCATGTGCGAGACCCTGAGAATGCAGGACAGATGGGTGGGTCCTTTTAGGAATCTTAACTCCAGCCTCGGGAGAGACTAGGAGACGATGAGGCCCAGAGGTTAGCTCAGTCACCCCATGCAGCACATACGAACCATTTCTCCAGACGTTCTCACTGCCTCTGTGGAATTGATAGCTCCAGTTGGGTTTCCCTGCCCCTCCCCTGCAGCGTTACTGCCTGTGTATAGTATATATATATATTATATATAAATAAAAAGATGTATAATATAAAGCAATACATATATATGATGACTAAAGAATGGCTGCTGCACACAGGTTCCTCGGGTGTCTGTCCAATGCTGAGTGTCCCCCCCACTGCCTCCCCCACCTAGTATGTTTTTCCAAAACCAACTCCAATAAACCCTGCCATCTTGGCACCTGTGTTTACTACGTCCTGTATATTTGTGGTTAACAAAGTGAAGGTGGTAACTACTGGTGTCTCTTATCAATAAAGTTGTTATGTTCAAAATAACAAACCATAATGAAGGTGTCTTGGGTTTTCTTCCCTTTCATATCCTGGGGATTTGGGGGTTATTTTACCCTACAGTTTATCGCTGTGATGTATTTCTAGATTATTTATCCATTGCTCTAGCTTCTAGCAGGGGACACATTTTAAAAATCTCATTA